ATGATGTCACCCACAAAATTCTTGTGTCTCGCGAAAATGTGAACTGATTACACTCGCTGCTAACCTTAATTTGTTAATTAGTGAATGTTAGTCGTTTATCAATGTGTATCCGGGTGGTAGTCAGGGTAGGTGGGGGGGGGGAAGGAGGGGGGTGACAAAAAGGGAAGGAGAAAGGCAAATAGGTGATTGATTCTCCTCACATTTTTCTTATATGCATATTGTCTGTATATTTCGGATAATATAATATTAGACACTTGATATATAAAACAAACAAATCATGCACGAAACCAACTTATTCGCACTTTTGTACAAGGGTTAAAGGACCTTGTTGAACTATTCGCCAGACTATTATTGATAGGGCAATTGAGTCCATGGACAAACACATTGACATGGTGATCAAGTCAAAAGGACAACGCATTAAATATTACATTTTGTGGCAATTTAAGTGTGTAATGTCCTTTAAATTAAATGCCATTGTTATCATCAGTATTTAAGCCAAGTTAAATAGGATTAAATTATATTAAACTTATATTGTTATCTCCATTGCATTATAAACTTTATAAGTAATAAACTGTTTGATAACGAACGAGTTACCAACAAATTACCAACGAGTTACCCAGGAGTTACCCTAAAAATCAATATACTTTTCACTATAATAGAACGAGTTACCACGAGTTACCACTTAAAAATTTAGAAAAATAAATAATTATTTTTTTCTATTTTTTTTAGTGGTAACTCGTGGTAACTCGTTATATTATAGTAAAAACTATATTGATTTTTAGGGTAACTCGTGGGTAACTCGTTGGTAACTCGTTGGTAACTCGTGCAAAGCACATTCATACTTATATATACTCGAATTCGGAAGAAACTATTCAAAGCAAACAATGTAAGATCTCTGACAGATCTGAAATAGCCCTGACCGTAAACTTCATGTAAAGCATGTTAAAGTAGCAGCATATATAAATTAAAAACAACAACAAAACCTGCAGGAAATCGGAAGCGTTGCAAATGTAAATCATTCTTATTTTGTTTGCACTTCAACTTTCTTCGTAAGAATTCTTTGTGCCATTGATAAAGTCGAGTTTTCTGTTTCGTAAGTACAACGTTAATTTTGTTTGAACAAATTTATCAATTATCGTCTTTTAAGATGCTGTAAAATCCGTATAACAAACGCTTTGTTTACATATTTTTGAACTGCTATATTTGTAAGACATGTTAATATACTAACTGAATATCTAACACTTTTCTGGTTCGCTATGCTTGTAAATTATATAAACTTCACGTTTCAGTTCGAAAATTTAGAAAGATGCAAAATTTTGGCAATGTTTATATCTGCGGGTCCCCTTTGTTATGAGCAGAACTGATGCACAGAACGGACTTTACAGCATCTCTGAATTAATATAATAATTCAAAGTTATTGATTTGGGATTTATCTTCAACCCTTCTGTTTTTATTCAAATTGCAAAAATGATAAACTTCTGCATGAAGGACGTACAATTTGTTTCTTGCCATGATCAAAAACTCCAAGAATAATCAATATAAACACTATTAGAGAACAGTAGCCCCCTCCCCCACCTCCCTTCCCCTCCCCCCTTAACACCAGTTTCTTACAAACCCAAACTGTTTGTTTTTCTTACGTAACTTGTATACTAAGCTAAATGCACAAAATAACATAATGTCAAAAAAATAAAGAAGACCGAGTACCCTTTCCCAATTTCTCTTAAATTGCAGACAATCCTTCACAAAAATTATGAGACTACCCACGTGAAAGTATAATTTCCTCTCCCCTCCCCCCTACAGAGCAATGTTGCTCGTGATTGAGTTGAAATTGTGTAGCACAATGCTTGTAATAACAGCCAACATTGTTTTGAAGGGGGAGGGAAGGGGGTGGGAGGAAGGACGAGCTCCTGAGGGTAAGAATTTGCTAATTTTACAGATAAATATGCAAGTCTCAATAATTTTTGTGAAGGATTGTCTTAATAAATCATAAGACTTGATGTTTTAAACAATTTCAGATTCTTTATAAATGAGTTGTATATCTGGGAATAATGCGTTGCATGGTTCACATAATAAGTCTCGCAGGTTATTGGAACGTTTGTCGGACAGAATAGGGCGTGGCTTTTTGGGCGTCACCCATACTCTTATGGATGATGTCACCCACAAAATTCTTGTGTCTCGCGAAAATGTGAACTGATTACACTCGCTGCTAACCTTAATTTGTTAATTAGTGAATGTTAGTCGTTTATCAATGTGTATCCGGGTGGTAGTCAGGGTAGGTGGGGGGGGGGAAGGAGGGGGGTGACAAAAAGGGAAGGAGAAAGGCAAATAGGTGATTGATTCTCCTCACATTTTTCTTATATGCATATTGTCTGTATATTTCGGATAATATAATATTAGACACTTGATATATAAAACAAACAAATCATGCACGAAACCAACTTATTCGCACTTTTGTACAAGGGTTAAAGGACCTTGTTGAACTATTCGCCAGACTATTATTGATAGGGCAATTGAGTCCATGGACAAACACATTGACATGGTGATCAAGTCAAAAGGACAACGCATTAAATATTACATTTTGTGGCAATTTAAGTGTGTAATGTCCTTTAAATTAAATGCCATTGTTATCATCAGTATTTAAGCCAAGTTAAATAGGATTAAATTATATTAAACTTATATTGTTATCTCCATTGCATTATAAACTTTATAAGTAATAAACTGTTTGATAACGAACGAGTTACCAACGAATTACCAACGAGTTACCCACGAGTTACCCTAAAAATCAATATACTTTTCACTATAATAGAACGAGTTACCACGAGTTACCACTTAAAAATTTAGAAAAATAAATAATTATTTTTTTCTATTTTTTTTAGTGGTAACTCGTGGTAACTCGTTATATTATAGTAAAAACTATATTGATTTTTAGGGTAACTCGTGGGTAACTCGTTGGTAACTCGTTGGTAACTCGTGCAAAGCGCATTCATACTTATATATACTCGAATTCGGAAGAAACTATTCAAAGCAAACAATGTAAGATCTCTGACAGATCTGAAATAGCCCTGACCGTAAACTTCATGTAAAGCATGTTAAAGTAGCAGCATATATAAATTAAAAACAACAACAAAACCTGCAGGAAATCGGAAGCATTGCAAATGTAAATCATTCTTATTTTGTTTGCACTTCAACTTTCTTCGTAAGAATTCTTTGTGCCATTGATAAAGTCGAGTTTTCTGTTTCGTAAGTACAACGTTAATTTTGTTTGAACAAATTTATCAATTATCGTCTTTTAAGATGCTGTAAAATCCGTATAACAAACGCTTTGTTTACATATTTTTGAACTGCTATATTTGTAAGACACGTTAATATACTAACTGAATATCTAACACTTTTCTGGTTCGCTATGCTTGTAAATTATATAAACTTCACGTTTCAGTTCGAAAATTTAGAAAGATGCAAAATTTTGGCAATGTTTATATCTGCGGGTCCCCTTTGTTATGAGCAGAACTGATGCACAGAACGGACTTTACAGCATCTCTGAATTAATATAATAATTCAAAGTTATTGATTTGGGATTTATCTTCAACCCTTCTGTTTTTATTCAAATTGCAAAAATGATAAACTTCTGCATGAAGGACGTACAATTTGTTTCTTGCCATGATCAAAAACTCCAAGAATAATCAATATAAACACTATTAGAGCACAGTAGCCCCCCCCCCACCTCCCTTCCCCTCCCCCCTTAACACCAGTTTCTTACAAACCCAAACTGTTTGTTTTTCTTACGTAACTTGTATACTAAGCTAAATGCACAAAATAACATAATGTCAAAAAAATAAAGAAGACCGAGTACCCTTTCCCAATTTTTCTTAAATTTCAGACAATCCTTCACAAAAATTATGAGACTACCCACGTGAAAGTATAATTTCCTCTCCCCTCCCCCCTACAGAGCAATGTTGCTCGTGATTGAGTTGAAATTGTGTAGCACAATGCTTGTAATAACAGCCAACATTGTTTTGAAGGGGGAGGGAGGGGGGGTGGGAGGAAGGACGAGCTCCTGAGGGTAAGAATTTGCTAATTTTACAGATAAATATGCAAGTTTCAATTTTTGTGAAGGATTGTAGTTCCGAAGTTATACGCAAAATGTGCAAAATATAAATTGCTGATTCAGCACAACGTGTGACGTCATTAGTTGGGTAAGTATGCTTATTGAATAGTAAACTGAAGCATAGCTCAGTTATTATGGGCCCAAATCAAATGAAATTTTGCATACTGATTGTACATGATGAGGCGCATTGAAAAACGCTTCTAATTTTGTTGCCAAGGTAACAATGTCGTTCCCAGGCCCCTTGCGCCAATTTTATAAAACAGCTTTATTCATGGTACTGATAAGGTTAAAATAATATCAGAAGTATGTGTACCATACCTTTGCATGCCAAAAGTTTACTTGCTTGATAATAATTCGAAAATGATGTACACATAGTTAAATGCAACTAGTTATTCAAAATCGGTGTAAGGGGCCTGGGAACGACTGTGTTGCCTTGACAACAAAATTAGAAGTATTTTCCCATGCGCCTCACCATGCACTATCTGTATGCAAAATTTCATTTGATTTCAGCCAATAATAACTTAGCTATGCTTTAGTTCACTATTCAATAAACATACTTACCCAACTAATGACGTCACACGTTGTGCTGAATCAGCAATTAATATTTTGCACATTTTTGCGTATAACCACAGGTATAACTTCGGAACTAGATGAGATAGAATAGAGCCGTTAAACGGCCAACCGGCTTATTTTTATGCTCCTTCAGATGAAGCAATAAAACCCAATATTTTCCATGTTGACCAACTTTGATAATCTAGTTTTGAATTATTGGGGGGGGGGGGGTGTTACCGCCCCCAGCCCGCCCCGGTAGCGACGTCCAGGAATACAGGATATTAATTCTAGCTATGGAATACAACCTGTGCGGTTTAGTATTGAAGTATGCTGCATTGAGTTATTGACAAGCTTGGCAAGATGAAAATACCGCTGACGACTGGCCACTAGGGTTATGGATGGGCACGATGTTTAACGATTATAACAATGATAAAATTAAAATTTCGATTGGCATGCTGAGTTACAAAAAGGTGGGAAAATGGGACAATGGGAAACATTTTACTTATTTTTTTAAATGGTTCAAAATCGTCGGCATGAAAAAATAAGCAGAAATTTCGCAGTTTTAAAACTATCTGGTCATGCAGAAGAATTAGTTGGTAAGAAACACAATCTCTTCAGACGAGGGATCTTCGCTCGAAACTTCGGGGTCTTCTGGTTATTATATATACCAGAAGCAGGGCAGTAGCGAAGAGACTAAAGCAGGGGGTGTAGTATCGCATTTGCTGACGGATATTTCACTCGGTAATGAATATTTTTTTCCAAAGGGAGGGGGTGGAAAAATTTTCCGGACATACCATTTTTCACGAACTTTCGCATTATTAATTTAATGTATCGTAATTTGTTAACCAGTTTCCGTAATTTTCGTAAATTTATCAACATTTTTGCCATTATACTTTTTATTCCGAGCCACTCAAATATTTTCGCTGTATGAATACGAAAACAATTTGCCGCGATATCCGTTATTTATAGTTTTCAGGGGGTGTCACACCCCTTATAGCTACCGAGCGACGGTCCTGACAGGAAGACCAGCAATTCAACAACGGTGTACTTTGGCTTTGTCTTTACCACGACCGACGCCGAACACTCAAGTTTCAAGATATATGTCTCCAGCATACTTTGCGTTAAGTACGTTTCTAATAATACCGAGAACCGTATATATAATAATTTGTGCGTCTGTCTTTTCAAGTTCGTCTTATAAACACCTGTGACCTGTATGTAAAATTTGCAAATCGAACACAGCCAGATGGAAAAATGGGAGATGGTATTATTGAGAACAGTCAACGCAATGTGTTATTTAAACTCGATCAGACAACCACATACGCTCAATAATTTATTTCCTTTTAAAGCATTGCATGAAAATTTTGACTTTTCAATCTGTTTGCCAAACCATATAAATATGAAACAGTTCTCCAACCTGCGTGTTCACTAAAGTAGTTTCTAAATACGCCAAGCTTGCTTTATCAAAATTAATTTCATATTTAGGGAAGCCTCACATATCGAAACGTCATATGTTCGTTTAGGGGTGGGGTTCAGCTGTGACGTTTCTCTGTAAAACATCATGGAAAAATTCGATAGTTTTTTCGAAAGCCTTAACATTTCGGAATCATCATTGCAGAATATAAAAACTGAAGAAAACAACTTGATACAAACACCAGTGTATACATTCGTAATACCACACCTGTTCTATACATTATATTATTACGCCTTCCTTGCATTGAAAACACTCAAATTTCAAGAAAAATTGTCAATATTTCATCCAATTGTCAATATTTCATCCAAAAAAAGAAATTTGAAGAAACGTTGGAAATTTTGAAGTTCATATATATTAATAAAAAACATGTCAGCAGGAGATGACATATTCCTCGCGGAAGCATCGCCAATAGCCGGCTGTGAAAATATTAGAAAATTAGCTTATGTGTACTATAAGAATAAAATATCGATAACTATGTGTGACGTTTCTAAACAGAACAGAACAACGAATTGAGCTACGAAACTGAACAGAACAACGAATTGAGCTACGAAACTGAACAGAACAACGAATTGAGCTACGAAAATCAAAGCTCCCTTCTAAATTCCATTTTGCTTCCTATGCTTTGCTATATTTTCGAGAAAAGGGAGTTTGACTGGGGGACAGGGCCGTACACAGCGGGGGGGGGGGGGGGTAAGGTGGGCAACTGCCCCCTTCCTCCCCCAGAGAAAACTATATTTACGAATTTTAGAATGTCATTATTAATTATTATTTGGATATTTGGGACTTTTTTCGGCATATAGGCCTTACTGCCCCTCTGGTGAAAAAATCCTGCGTACGGCCCTGCTGGGGAACCAAATTGGTTCAATCAAATCAAAACCAAAAATATATTTACCATTCGTTTAAAATATTTACATGTGTTAGCCTATATTAAACACACAATTACAATATTATAAAGATATGGCAGGAGATTGGCATTGAAACTCGAGAGAGTTTGTTATTTAACAATCACCTTATACAACAGAGTATGTTGTTTGTTTGTGTGAGAGAAAGGAAAACAATATAATGATATTATAAACTATTAATAAAACATATAACTCATGATTATTCAATCATTTCATTAAACATGGAATATTTAAACTTTTCCTGGAAAGATTGGAGTGATGTAGCATGGATGATGGAATCATCAAGTGAATTCCAAAGAGTAATACCACTTTGTCTTAAAGTCATTTGTCTAGTTTTGGTCCTGGCTTGAGTGACATGAATTTTACTGGCAATTCTTGTATTATGAGTGTGAATTTCATTGTTGAAAGTAAAGTAAGTTCGGAAGACAGCGGGAAGAGTGGATGGAGTAAATATGCATCTATACATGAGAGATCCAGTTTGTAACTTATTAATATCATACACTGTTAATAATTTTAGCTTAAGAAATAATGGCTTAGGGGCGGACCATTTGACTTTTGAGGGGGGGGGGTGGAAGATTTCGAAAAAAAATTTCCTGCAACCCAAGGAGAAAGAAGAAAAAAATCATGCAGCATACAATCGAGAAAAAAAAATATCATGCAAAAGAAAGCGCTCAAAAAAAAATTCTACATGTAACTCTACTGATGCTCTTCACTTCAGTATTGTGTCCACAGGCTTGCAAGATTTTCATTTTTGAGCAGGCACATTTGTTTAAAAGAACACGGGGTGAACAGTGGATAACATCACAGGGATTCTACCGCCTTTGGAGCCTCTGACATACAATAGCCAGTGGTGTTCCCTGGCAAAATTGTTGCCCCCCAAAGTTGTTGGGCTTAAGATAATTATGTACAAGTTTATAAGTTATTTATAGCTACATATCTAATATGCATGGTAGAAAAAGTATTTTTGGATAATTGAGTCTGTGTGCGTTTTTTTATAACATAGCTCTAAACTATTAAAGCTTCAAAGGCCCATCTACAGGATGCAAGTTGAACGTATTGTATATACGATGATTTTAATGCGAAAATGCCAGTTTAGAGAGTCTAGATTTTAAAAAAATTCTGAAGAGGATGCAACCGATGCCCAACAAGCTATATGTATAAACGATTGAATAGCTACAGAGCTATATTTGGTGGAACAATGTTGTTTCGGAGGGCAGTTAAAAATTGCATTATTGAAATCTTGTTTTATTACATATTAATCAAAGCTCATTTTGTGATTTAGCCCGCGTGCAGGCCCAAGGGAGCAGGCTCAAGGGAACTTGATATGTGATTTTAATTCCCTTGTTTAAAATAAGAGACAGTAAGTGTTCCTTAGGCTTAGTACAGCAAAGTTGTTGTGGACGAATCCATGGCTGAAAACGCAGGAAATAGTATTTCCGAGGTTCAAATTTTAAAATTTTCTCGGGGGAGCATGCCCCCGAACCCCCCAAGGTTACAGGTCATTCATATACTGTACCCTCCCCCATTTTCGAGTACTTTACTCTATCCCTGCATGTTTTAGGTTTTGGTGCAGTTATACATTCTTTGCAAGTAAACTTGCACGCTTTAGTGTGGGGAACATTAAGACATAACCATATAAAATAAAGCACAGTGAAAATTCCTTGGCCCCTCTTGGGATTCAGTTCTCGGCCTCCTCTGATGACTGAAAACCCCTGCTATGTCTCTGATGATAGCTATATGAAAGCCTTAAGTTACTGTAAGCCGTTATTATGAGAGGCAAAAAAAATATCCTGCCGCCAATTGTATTGGGAAAAAAATATCTTGCGCTGCACTTTTACAGGAAAAAAATATCTGTCTTGTTCGCCTGGACGGAAAAAAAAAATCTTGCACACACTGAATATTCCAACCCTCCCCCCCCCCTCAAAAGTCAAATGGTCCGCCCCTTAGTATGATCCTTATATCCTACATTAGCAATTATTGATTAGCAATCATTAGTAATTAGCAATTAAGGTGAGAGACTTTGAAAATCTATTTCTAATTATTGACAATAACATAAGTATCATGCATATTTTTCATACCAGTGTTCGGCTTTGGCATCTTTAAAAAAATTTCACATTATTTGTCACTTATAAGTTATAAAATATATGATACAGCAATTCAGCAAAAACGGACTGATTAAATTGAGATGATCAACAGATATTTTACGCAGACATGCAAGCAACATGGCGGATCATTTGGACGATTCAGACCGATAAATGTATAAAAAATCCACTCGTACTAAGGAGAATTTATAGTTTGTTAAAGTAATTCATCTTTTTAAATTGTGGGGGATTTTATTCAATTTAGACTTCATAATATACTTGATATACATTCCGTGTCTTATCTATATGTTAAGTGACACTTGGCTTCAGACTATTTGTTGATCTTACCCACTGTGTTATGTGTAACTGAAGAGAGTGTATATATGTTCGAATTCCGTTACATCAGTCAAGAAAGCAAAGTCAAAAACATGGAAGATTTTGGCCACTAATTGTGGCCTCTGTTGACGCCATATTTTGCCCCTTTCCAAACGCACAAGTCAAATTGATGAACAAGGTGACCAGAATATATTTTTATGCATGCTGAAAGTCTTCCCAAGAAGCAATTATTTTCAGTTGAGTCTGAAGATATACGGCAAAATAGGGTGATTGTAAACTTTTTGTGCGGTGTTGTGCATGACTGCAGCGTAGTTGGACTAACATGATAAATGTCAAAGCTGACGGCTTTATACTTTACCCGCAAAATATTCAACATGTTGTTGAGCCATCCTCCGGTTATGGTGAGGGACAGGTAATCACAAATAAACAAGACGCTCTGCGGAGCGTTAGGTCGCTGGGGCGATGGAAATATGCAACTTTAAGTACAAATAATAGCTCTAATTAAAGAAGAGCGTGTTTGTTTTTCCGAAAATATTGATTCTTGAAGTTTGCAGTTTGCCTGATAGTTAGCGCTAATAGTTAAAACAAGTACAACCATGTAGCAATGTTGTTTTAATACTAGTCATGTAGTATACTGTATACAGTATAGTGTATTTTATGTGTTAAAACAAGCGTTTATCCTGTTGTCATTACACAGATCGGCAGTGCCTTTTTTAAGGAATTTTCACTGGGGGGAGGGGGGGGCAAAACAGGAAAAAAGGCAGAACGAAAATTATGAGCCGTCGAGGTTTGGCGAACGCGCGAGTCTGAAGAGAGATTTTGTAAAACTTTAATTTATTAACTTCACCTATATTTTACTTTAAACAATAACTTGAACTCTTTGTAGCTATAATCGTACAGCTATAACCAGTGGTGTAGCCAGACCTTAATTTTTTTTGGGGGGGGGGCGGCGAACCTCGTGTCGAAGGCGTGAGACCGTCTAGGAGGGTCCGGGGGCATGCACCCCCGGGAAAATTTTGAATTGCGATTTCAAGCATTTTGGGGGTGAAATCTAGCAAAATTCCGAAGATTATAAAGTACATCGAAGACATGAATTTTTCCAGACATATCTACTCGGAATTAAATAAATTGGAAAAGTCACCTTGAAAAATAGGAGGAGGGATCAGTGTCACCTCTGTGATGCTGG